CACAAGGCTTTTGTATCAGAACTTCAGAACAAAATACGTTACTTGTCTCTGATTTACAAGAGAAACTAATGTCACAGTGGTCTTGAGACACCAATGACTTCAGTAAATTTCTTTAAACATACAGTTTGTGGAAAGTATCTGCATTTTTATAACGCAACTGTGATTTTCTGGAAGAGTAACTGGTTAATCAGTGTATATTATCATAGGGCAGATAACATGTCTTCAAGATTTGCTACTTTCAATATTTCTTTTGTGTATTGTTATTATCTTTTTTTTTTTTTTTTGTCTTTCTTTTCTTGTAATTTTCAACCTTATTAGAAAAAAAATATGTGGTTAAATTACATATAACTATAAAAAATATTGCCAGATGAACAAAATATGGGAAAACAGTCAACTTGTGTTCAGTATTTATAATGAGTTTTTATTCTTTTTATTTATTTCCATTAGTAATTGGCCTTGTTGCATTTGTATTTTTATATATGGATTTGTGATTAATGAGGACATCAAGGCATTTCATCTCAATTTGTCATTTTATTTTGCTTTCAAGGAAAGTCTCATCCATGGTATGTCATAACCCATCTTTTTATTTTAGATTAATACTTTGGCTTTATTATCTTGTCAAACAAGATGCAGTTCTTATCTATCTTTTTTTCCCCCTCCCTTATAGTCTTCTTTTATCAGCCTTAATTATAATCGTAATTTTACACTTCCGCAGTAAATCATCGGCCTTCACCACCACTGCATTCTTTAAGGGATTGCTATCATGGACAAATTGACCGTCATGTTGCCCAAGAACGACTAACCAACATATCAAAACCAGGGCACTTCCTCCTGCGACAGAGTACAAGGAAACTGGGGACTTATGTTCTGACGTTGTTCTACCAAGAGCAAGTGTATAACTATGAAGTTTCACAGGAGGTGAGATTGAATTTTTGGCCAGAATTTTTTTTAGGTGTTAGAAAAGTTTTGTTTCAAGGTGATAATTTTTTGTGGGGGGCGTTTCTGTATTGAATTGTTGCTCTCTTCTGTCTCTCACCTATTTTGTTTGGCCTCACATTCTTCTTTTCAGTTCTCTTTTCCTTATGGTTACTTATTTTTCTTCAATATAGGTTTTAATTCAGACGAAGATATATTGGAAACCAGTCAAGTGCATCTTGTGTATTGTGAAGATGTTCATTCAGATTCATACCTTTTCTACATGGTTATTATATTTAAGATTTTACATAATTACAAAGTACAGCTAATACAATGTCCTATCTTTGCAGGGTGAATTAGTGTTCATTGATGACGGCCCATACTTTACATCACTGGAGAGCATGATCAACCATTACTCACGTTTCATGGATGGTCTTCCATGCCGACTTCTCACTCCAGTGCCTCCTCCACAGCCACTCCCTGAGCATGAAATTCCAATCCAAGGTCCTCCTGTTAGTCACAATAATGTAAGTTACATATGGTTTAGCTTTTAGTGTATATAGGTATCTTCATTTCCCAAAATAACAGTAATGATTACTATAATTATTGTCATTACTATTATTAATGTTGTTATAAGTGCTGTTGTATTTCTTCCTCTACTTTGTCCTTTTTTTCTTTTTCTCTTTATTGTTCTGCTTCTTCTATTGTTGTTGATATTATAGATAACTTATTTTCCTCATTGGTTTACATCATCAACTTAATCAGTATCACAATTGTTGAGCAGTTTTCCTTTTGATAGTAGCTGTTATGCATGATTAATCCAGAAATTATTCACATTTCACAGAGGGAGTATGTCAAATTGTGCCTTTTTAAAATACAAGTTCTCTTTCTTCTTTTACTCCTGATGTATCTCGTTATTCCATTATGTAAAATTTCAGAAATTAGGCACTCCTTTGACACATAGCCAAGAATCCTTTGACATGTGCAAGACTCCATCTCCCAGTGGGTCACTTGCCAGAGTGTCTCCCTTGCTAGAATTTAGGCCTCATTTGAGAAGCAGAAGTCCATTTTTTAAGGTTAGGAATAAATTTTACATTTTTGATTTGATTTGATTTGATTTTTTTTTTTTTTTTTTTTTTTTTTTCTGTCAAGCTTGGCTGTGCTTTACTTGATGATACTGATACTTCACTCTTCATTGTTCCATTTCCTTTCCTTCTTCTGCATCTTCCCCGATATTCTTTTTCTCCTGTTATTCTTTATTTTCTTCTCCTGTTTTATCTCATTATTATTATTATTCCTTTTTTTTTATGTTCCTAATGTGGCTTGTTGTTCTTGTTTATCTTCTTCTCCTGTCTTCTTCCTTTTTCTTCATCTTTATCTTCATATTCTTCTCTTTTCCTCTTCATATTCTTTTTCTCTTCTCTTTTTTCTCTTTAGTCTTTGTCTTCTAATTTTTATTTTCATCTTTTTCCACTTTCCACTTCATTGGCTTCTGCTCCTTTGTATTTTCTTCTTCTTCTTCTATTCACTTTTCATCATCATCCTTCTTAATTTTTATCATTTTCCTTCACATCTTTCTTCTTCCTCTTGTTTTTTTCTCTGTTTCTTTCTCTTCCTCTCTTCTCCATAGTGTTATTCTTATTCCTTGTCCTTTTTTCTTTCTGTCTGTCTTCTTTCCTTCTTTCTTACACTTTTTTCCTGTTTACTTCTTTTTCTTCTTCTTTGCGTAGGTATATTGTAGTTCTTCTTTTCTATTTATTTTTCTTTTTTTCTTCTTCCTTTTTTATTTTTTAAGTAATACTTGATATTAATTTATGTTTTTTCCTCTTTGTTTTCTTTTTCTTCTGCTTCTGTCTTCATCATCTTCCTGATTATTCTCATCTTCATTTGGTTTTCATCATTTGCAAACCCAATGAGCGCAGGCTTTTTCCCATTAGGTTTAATGTGATGTCTTTATGTTAATGATAAAAAACAGTTACTTGTGTCAATTGATAGAATGGGTTCAGAAAAGATGATTTTGCATTCCACGTTAAAAAAAGAAAAAAGAAAGGAAGTCTGAGTTTGTAATAATCGAAAAAATATAAATAACCCAATATCCCTTTGGGAAGACATAGCGTTTGTAGTGATTAACCCTTTGGATCCGGTTGCATCGCAGAAATCACGGAGCTGGAAACCTAGGCAGCGATTTATGTAAGCGGCCAGTATTCCAGGCCGGGCACACATGAACAACCATGAGCAGTGATAAGACTCTGTGCCTCCCCTTTGCAAATTTATTTTGTGTAAACTTTTTTAGCTTTACCGCCATTTTCCAATGTCCATATTTGTCTTTTGATTTGCTTTATTCAGATGGTAATTATTTATTTCCCTTGCAAGAAAAAAATATGGAACATTTGGTTATTTGTATCATAGATCTCATTTTTTCAATTTCATATAATAGAACCTGTGCCGCGGCTCACAGTGGTCAGGAATACAGTGCACAGCATGCTAATGGCATCCTACCTGGAGCCGTCGCTCTTCCAGTCACTGCTTCCTCACATTACACTCCATATTTGTTTATCAACGGGAATAATGCTAAAGCCCCCTTCTAAGCGCCAAATGAGTCGAATCACACTCCAAGAGGTTTGTGTACTCATGGCGAGTCTTTTCTATCACCCTGGCCTTCGCTCATGACAGCAGTACGCGTCTCTCCGTGATGGGATGTTCACATCACCTGCCCCTTGGCTCATGTTTTTCCGTGATGTGACCACAACGTCATCCAGGTCCAATAGGTGAATACCAGTTCCTTGGACCAGTGGCCCCTTTAATCGAGTACTCCAGTTTATGATGGGAGGTCATCCATGGGGAATAAAAGTGACACTAATCTGACAGAGGCAATCATGACAGAAATCTACACCTCATTTTCATATCACTGACAAGGGACTAACCATATCTACAGGCTTGATATAAGTTAGAGCAATATTAGGCTATACAAGCAAAGCATTTAAACTAATTGCCTGGACAGTTAATTTTGCTTTTACAAGGTGCTTGTGCTGTATATGGACAATATTTTATTCAGAGACACTCACTGATCAAAACAAAACAAAACAAAAACAAAACAATTTTTTTTTTTTTATACAATAATGGTGATTATATTTTCAGTTTCCTCCTCAGAATGGCAGTGATAGTGGAGCTGGGTCCACTGAGCAACAATCATTGTTGGCTGCAGTAAGCCAAGATGATTTAAGGCCATCAGGCCCAGAGGTACTGGGTAGAACACAGGTACCAAAACCTAACATCATTATAACTGGTGAGTCTTTCTATGCATATATGATTTCTTTATTGCATTTCAGTCCATTTAACAACTAAATTTCAGGAAGCACACATGATCCCCATGTAAAGAGGGGAAAAGAGCCTCTTTGATTATACGTCTGTTTATGAACGCCCAATAGGAAGAAGACATTGCAATAAGCTTATAAACTTTTTTTTTTTTTTTTTTTTTCTAAAAATGGCAGAGGCAGGGTGTAACTCACAACAAAGAGAGAAATTGTTAAACATATTACATTGAAAAGATGAGGCCATGTGAGACACTTAACATGTCTTCATTATCATTCATTCCAGATCCCTTATCGCAGGCATCACAAAATGCAACCGAGGATTTAATTGATCTTCACACTCCATTGGAATATGGCAAAATTCAAAAAGTTACTCGCCAACCACCTCATGCACCACAGCGTGTTTCACGAGAGAATCTAAAATTAGATTTAAAGGTAGGTTACACTGTTTCACTCTTTTTAGCCACAAGAGATCAAAATCCTCAGCATATTATCTGAACCCACATGGAAATTAACCCATCTCACCTTTTGAATAGTCTCTGTTGGCTTGTAGGGGTCATAGATGGAGAAAGAAAGGCCATCTGGATACAGGTGTAAGGATATTGGACTGGGATTGGTGTCAGTGGCCTTGAGGCTGGAAGACTGATGCTTGCCTTTACCAGATATGCTAATCTACCCTTACCATATCATGTTCACACTCAAAGAAAGATGAGAAAAAAAGACTCTATCAAGACTGTTCAGTGTAAATGTGAAAATTGCTTGCTTAAGACAGCT